TAAAGGCAGATATGTATGTGAAGTGTGGCCTTCAAACGCAAACAAAGGTTAAATCCACCGGCTGCGCAGATAGATGAAAGAAAACCACAGCTGAGCGCAGGAGTCGCTGCTCCGTGCTGTTTTGTGACCATGTCTCTTGTTCTCTCCGACTCTGTGACGGCTGCTCTGCAGTCCTCTATGAGGCGCTGGATGACAGTCCTGACGACATGTATTTGGATTGGTATCAAGGTCAGATATGCCCCAATGAAGGTTCTGGGCTTGTTAGCCCTGCGTGTATTATTAATATTCTACCTGTACTCCCTCCTCTTCACATGGTCTCTGCCAACCACTGTCCTGCTGTATCTCTCCTTTTCTTTGTGGCCTCTCACCCTCACCTTTCTTCTCTTTTACTCTACTACTCTTAAATCTCTCTAATATCCAACTCCAAGGGTGTTGTTTTGCAGAGTTGCAAAATAGTCATTGTGTCTAGTCACCCTGGTGGTAAAAGCTGGGGGGGTCAAGTTATGGATTAGGACCCATGCTTGCTGGTGTAACCCTTGAAGTTACAGAAACTAAGCAGCAAAACAAAAGGTGGCTGAGCGGTGCTATGTAAGTTGGCCTGAATCAGGAGGTTTACATAGGTCGTGTCTTGGATGTTTCGAGAACTCAAACTGGCAGTTTGTGTCGTTCCTTATCCCCCTGCTGTTAAAAGAGGACGCTGGCTGAAACGGGCTTTTGTTAAAGGATAATCCTACGTTATTACAACTTAGTTCTTATTTGATTAATTTGAGTAGTTCTGGGCATCATTTCAATTTGTTCTGATAAAGAACTTGCTAAGATCTGGGAACACAGCAACATTGCTTCAACAAAGGCTAACTGGGCAAGAAACACGAGCAGTCAGACACAAGTTATCTAAATCACTTCATTTGGAGGTAAAATTAACTCAAGTGAGTGTCTGCAAGAATCCTGGCTACACAGGATAACTGTGATGGACATTTACAACGGTCAATTTGGATATAAATTTTACCAACTGCCTTAGTTTGTTCTTCCAAGTAAGTTTGGCGAACCACAGGCTGTGTTTAAAACCTGTATAATTGTCTCACTGCTCATTTATTTTTGCCCCTTGCTAACTTCTATTGATGTTGTCGCCTTCCCAGATCTCTGTTATTAACTTTGGTAAATTCAAAGTTGTTAATACCAGTAGGAACAATGACCAGATCTGCACAAAATAAAACTCAAGCTGACATAACGATCTAAAGTCAAGATCCATTCCTTCACTTGTTCTGGAGCTTTCAGCCACAGACTTCAGCAGTAGGTTGAGTTTGACTGTAGATGTTGAAACTTTGCATGATGGTGATCACCTCTAGACATCATTTCCACTGTCAATACTGAACCGTCAAGCTCAGTTTGTTACTAACATTGATGGACAAGAATCATGGAAAGTTTGAAAACTTTTAGTCCAATGACGACAGTTAACTCAATCTGATAATAAAGACCAGATGATATGGACGAAAGCTCCAGAATAAGTGAATAAATGGATCTTGATTTAAGGTGGTTTTGTCTACTGCTGTTTCCAGTGTCAAGAATAAATGATCAAACTCAAGTTATGAGAAACTAGAATCATCCTTTAAGGGGATGCAGAGTGTATTAGCGACCGTGTCTTTACAAATTACGCCACGTGAGTTGTGATACATGTCTGGAGATCATCTGACACTGCACCGATTTGAGCCAGTGTTCTCCTCTAACAAGGTGTTCCCATTGACACTGACACAGCCTTCCTGTGTTCCTCTGTCTCGACTCTCTGTGCTCCCTGGTCCGTGACGTCCACACTACACTCCAATCTTGTTGCTGGTGGTGTCCACTCAAAACTAAACGTTCCTTTGAGTGTGTGTGTGTGTGTGTGTGATCCACGGCTTTCTCTTCCGAGGTGACACTATCAAGTAATCTCTGTGGTGTGGAAGAAATGTTTCTGTGATCTCACTCATACCCGTTGAGGACGTCTCATCTTGTGGCATTATTTTTTGTTTGGGGTGGTAACCAAGTGGAGGAAGGTTTCCCTCTCACTCTGGGTCCATCTGATGTGGTAAGAGCCTCAACACTCAGACTTAAAGAGCTCTCTCTCTCGCTGTCTCCCCCTACAGTCGGACCCTCTGCGGTGCAGCGGCTGGACAGCTCCACGGTGAGAACCTACTCCTGCTGAGAGGAGGAGGAAGAGAGGGACCTTAAACTGTACACTGTATGTAACATTACACAGACTCTCGCTCTGTCAAATACACAGCTTTCCTCAGAAGTACTTAAAACAGATATTGGATTAAAGAGAAGTGGGGCCAAATGTTTCCCAAGATAAGTGTGTTTGTCTCATCGGCTTGGCGAGTCTCTGCGGTGTTTTTGCCAGGTAGCTGTGATAAGGTGATGGGAGACACTCTCGTACTGATGTCTCCCACTTTAATGTCGGTCCAGGAAAAGATGAGTCACTCATGGTCCAAGCTTTGGAAACCTGCTTCAAATGAATGAGACCTGCAGTATCTTAAACAGATTAGTTTACAAAGTTCATTTACATGATCAAGGCTCCTAAAAGTAGACATTGTGAGAGTTATCCAAACTTTACAGATTACAAAGTGAGCCTGCCCTAGTTTTCTTTCCTTGTACTGCCAGGTGCAATGAACAAGTGTCATTCCTCATAAGTGTTTGCTTTGATTTGATGCTGTACGCTGTCTGACTGCACTGTCTCTCTGCATCTGTGTTGTAGTGAAATTCCCTCACAATTTAAGTGGCAACCAGATGCCAGAAGCTGCAGAGAAGGTTCAGTTTTGCTTTGCATGTGTTGTTTAGCATAAGGAGCCCAGATGGCTAAGACAAAGAAATATAAAGTGCATTTACATGAATGATAAATCCCAGTCTTGAAAGGTTTCTTTCTAATCACAATTGTTCAAAACCCGACTGCAGTACATCTGTATTTGCCAGTTTAGGCATCTGGCTGCAAGGAGCACATCAGGCCACAAACCCTTTAGTCCAATACCACTATCATTACACGTCTCCAAGGATGTAAGAAGTGCAGAGGTTAGAGGAAGAATAGACAGATAATAATGATAAAATGCAGTGACTTCACCTGGTGCAAGCAGTTGCCACAAAGAACAAATACACACAAGATTGACACAGAAAACAAAAAAAAAAAACACCTTTGTAACCTTCTGCCTTCCTTCGATTCAGACTCATAAATGTTATGCTGCGTTGTATTTAGAAAATCATAATTCTAGTTCTGCTCTAGATGCATATAAAAGTCATTTGATTTTTTCAATGTACTTTCATTTCACATATTCACAGCACTCTGGTCTTAACGATAGACTCAATAAAAAAAAGTATTCATAAGACGTATTTTGTATTTAAAGGGCCTTTTGTGTTGAGTGAAGTCCAAAAAGCCCCATTAAATTCTGTTGTAATTCAGTGTTGCACAACAAAGAATGAAAACTTCCAAAGGGCAGGGTGAATACTTTTTATAAGCACTTTTTATAGACTTAGTCACAGTTTAAATTGCCTTCTTAGCTTTTGATAATTCAGCTTTTTTCTTTAAAAACTTCTACTGACTCAAGATTTCAAGACTCTCATTAAAACCTCATCGTTGTGTTTCCCTTCAGGTACAGTTCTGAATGGAGCTGCTGGACGGGCCACCCTGCCGAGGAACAAACCATTCTGACGACACGCACTGCCAAGAAGCCCTGCTCTCCTCTCTGACCCCAGCCCCCCCCTCCCTCCCTGCTCTGTTCCCTATAATGTAGGCACCAGATGCCGGTGCTAAACTGTCCTGCAGGCTGCCCCCCCGTTGTCACCATTTCTACCTTTTACATGTACAGTAACTTGTCAAAGCATAACGTACTGTGTATTTCTTCTACAGGAGATGTGTAGGTTATCTGTAAATTAATATAAATATGCCATTTTTTAATATATACACACACATCTATGTATAAAAAAAAAGTTATTCAGAGTTTGTGCAAAAAAAATGTCCCTGCCACCTCATTTAGTGGACCATAGATTAATATATGCTGCTCTTTAAACTGTCTCCATATTATCCTGCTCCCCCTAGATCATTTTGTACATATGGTTTTATTTTTTCATTGTGCTGATGATTATGATGATGAACCTGTGCTGCACCATATAGAGAGGAAGAGACTCTGGATGTTGTGTGAAAACCTGCCCTCTAGTGGTTAACAAAAACCACTTCGAGCCCCATTTCTGACACCAACAAACTTCATTATCCTTTCTTATGGACTCGCTATCATAAAAAAAGGAGCATTTTAAAGAGGATGCATCAACGCACTGGAACGACACGACAAGCACTTTGATACAACCGCATCAACTCAACGGACTATTCAGTAGCCAAGGACAAAACAAAGAGATGCTGTTGCTCTCTCGAAGTTGCACAAAACTTCTTCTCAGAGAACAAAAGAAAAAAAAAAGCAGGAGGTCGTTCGTAGAACCTGTCACTTGTTGTACTGTATGTTTTGTCAGGAGATACATCTAACACAAAAAGGACAAAAACACACTCAGCCAAGCTGGCCTTCTCCCCCTCATCCTTCAGACACCACGTCAACAGAACAGAGGAAATAACTGAAAGACAGACTGCTTTAGCTCATAGTGTGCGTAGAGTGTATATGACCATGTTGAAGTGAGGTGACTTTTAATGACAAAAACCTGTTTCTTGCTGTGACTTACATTGGTGTAACTGTTAACTCTTTGTTTCCGTCAGAGTTTCCAGGGTAACCTATTGTACAGCCCTGTTATCTGTCTTTTAGTTATTTCTGATGGACGACTCAAAACAAGTCTTACGCTTTTAATTTTGTTTTTACATCTTCAATTTGCACGAACAACGAATCATTTTATTTTGTGTTCATTTGTTTTGTTTTGTTTTTTTATTTATTACTTCTTGTACTTTGGTCAAAACTAAGTGGTGAGCAAACAAATTTTCATTGTCAATAAAAAAAAATGTCAGTGAATGAGTGGTCTTTATTTACATTCATCCTGATGTTATATAAACAGCAGCTGTACATTGCTTCAATTAATTAATTATGAATCTACATAGCTTGTTGTGCAGTATAGTTTCACAGTATTGTTCAGACTACATTCAAATAGACTTAATTTCATCATTAGAATTGGAAAGCACTAATTCTGTTTCATGGATTTGGCAGAGGAACAAAGATAAAACTTACTGATGTAAATGTGCTTTCAGTGTGATATAGAAAAGAAGACTGAGAACTAACTTCTACTTTTGTGTTTGCCCAAGTTTCCTCAGTCGTCCCCACTGATGCGTTCAGGCTGCGTGAGGTCTCAGAACTTTTTCTACCTGGCTCTCGATGTCTTTGAACACCTCTGGGTCCTCAATGGTTGGAGTAATCTGCGGCGAGAAACACTGCTGTCATAATGCTTCGACAAAAGCAATACAAGGCTAAATTAGTGAGTCATGAAAATTAAAAAAAATGTCATACGTAAGGCAAAAAGATGTCAAAAAACACCACAGTATAATAAGCTATATAATGCCAAAGAACAACATTGTACAGTAAGGCAAAACATTTTTTAAAAACATCATTGTATAGTAAGGCAAAAACGCCATTATATAATAAGGCATACAACGCCAAAAAACGACGTAGAATAGTAAGGCAAAATTTTTTTTAAAAACGTCATAGTATAGTAAGGCATAAAACGTCATAGTATTGTAAGGCAAAAAAAATGTCAAAAAAAGTCATAGTATAGTAAGGCATAATAGGCCAAAAAACGACATACTATAGTAAGGCAAAAATTTTTTTAAAAACGTCATAATATAGTAAGGCAAAAATATGTCATTATATAATAAGACATGTAACACCAAAAAACAACATAGAATAGTAGGTCAAAAATATTTGAAAAAACAGTCATAGTATAGTAAGGCAAAATTTTTTTAAAAAACGTCATAGTATAGTAAGGCGTAAAACGTCATAGTATAGTAAGGCGTAAAACGTCATAGTATAGTAAGGCGTAAAACGTCATAGTATAGTAAGGCGTAAAACGTCATAGTATAGTAAGGCGTAAAACGTCATAGTATAGTAAGGCGTAAAACGTCATAGTATAGTAAGGCGTAAAACGTCATAGTATAGTAAGGCGTAAAACGTCATAGTATAGTAAGGCGTAAAACGTCATAGTATAGTAAGGCGTAAAACGTCATAGTATAGTAAGGCGTAAAACGTCATAGTATAGTAAGGCGTAAAACGTCATAGTATAGTAAGGCGTAAAACGTCATAGTATAGTAAGGCGTAAAACGTCATAGTATAGTAAGGCGTAAAACGTCATAGTATAGTAAGGCGTAAAACGTCATAGTATAGTAAGGCGTAAAACGTCATAGTATAGTAAGGCGTAAAACGTCATAGTATAGTAAGGCGTAAAACGTCATAGTATAGTAAGGCGTAAAACGTCATAGTATAGTAAGGCGTAAAACGTCATAGTATAGTAAGGCGTAAAACGTCATAGTATAGTAAGGCGTAAAACGTCATAGTATAGTAAGGCGTAAAACGTCATAGTATAGTAAGGCGTAAAACGTCATAGTATAGTAAGGCGTAAAACGTCATAGTATAGTAAGGCGTAAAACGTCATAGTATAGTAAGGCGTAAAACGTCATAGTATAGTAAGGCGTAAAACGTCATAGTATAGTAAGGCGTAAAACGTCATAGTATAGTAAGGCGTAAAACGTCATAGTATAGTAAGGCGTAAAACGTCATAGTATAGTAAGGCGTAAAACGTCATAGTATAGTAAGGCGTAAAACGTCATAGTATAGTAAGGCGTAAAACGTCATAGTATAGTAAGGCGTAAAACGTCATAGTATAGTAAGGCGTAAAACGTCATAGTATAGTAAGGCGTAAAACGTCATAGTATAGTAAGGCGTAAAACGTCATAGTATAGTAAGGCGTAAAACGTCATAGTATAGTAAGGCGTAAAACGTCATAGTATAGTAAGGCGTAAAACGTCATAGTATAGTAAGGCGTAAAACGTCATAGTATAGTAAGGCGTAAAACGTCATAGTATAGTAAGGCGTAAAACGTCATAGTATAGTAAGGCGTAAAACGTCATAGTATAGTAAGGCGTAAAACGTCATAGTATAGTAAGGCGTAAAACGTCATAGTATAGTAAGGCGTAAAACGTCATAGTATAGTAAGGCGTAAAACGTCATAGTATAGTAAGGCGTAAAACGTCATAGTATAGTAAGGCGTAAAACGTCATAGTATAGTAAGGCGTAAAACGTCATAGTATAGTAAGGCGTAAAACGTCATAGTATAGTAAGGCGTAAAACGTCATAGTATAGTAAGGCGTAAAACGTCATAGTATAGTAAGGCGTAAAACGTCATAGTATAGTAAGGCGTAAAACGTCATAGTATAGTAAGGCGTAAAACGTCATAGTATAGTAAGGCAAAAAAAATGTCAAAAAAAGTCATAGTATAGTAAGGCATAAAAGGCCAAAAAATGATATAGTATAGTAAGGCAAAATTTTTTTTAAAAACGTCATAGTATAGTAAGGCATAAAAGGCCAAAAAATGATATAGTATAGTAAGGCAAAATTTTTTTTAAAAACGTCATAGTATAGTAAGGCATAAAAGGCCAAAAAATGATATAGTATAGTAAGGCAAAATTTTTTTTAAAAACGTCATAGTATAGTAAGGCATAAAAGGCCAAAAAATGATATAGTATAGTAAGGCAAAATTTTTTTTAAAAACGTCATAGTATAGTAAGGCATAAAAGGCCAAAAAATGATATAGTATAGTAAGGCAAAATTTTTTTTAAAAACGTCATAGTATAGTAAGGCATAAAAGGCCAAAAAATGATATAGTATAGTAAGGCAAAATTTTTTTTAAAAACGTCATAGTATAGTAAGGCATAAAACGTCATGGTATAGTAAGGCAAAAAAATGTCAAAAAACATCATAGTATAGTAAGGCATAAAACGCCATTATATAATAAGGCATGTAACGCCAAAAAACGACACAGAATAGTAAGTCAAAAAAAGTTGAAAAAAAAGTCATAGTATAGTAAGGCATAATAGGCCAAAAAACGACATACTATAATAAGGCAAAAAAATGTCAAAAACATCATAGTATAGTAAGGCATAATAGGCCAAAAAACGACATACTATAATAAGGCAAAAAAATGTCAAAAACATCATAGTATAGTAAGGCATAATAGGCCAAAAAACGACATACTATAATAAGGCAAAAAAATGTCAAAAACATCATAGTATAGTAAGGCATAATAGGCCAAAAAACGACATACTATAATAAGGCAAAAAAATGTCAAAAACATCATAGTATAGTAAGGCATAATAGGCCAAAAAACGACATACTATAATAAGGCAAAAAAATGTCAAAAACATCATAGTATAGTAAGGCATAATAGGCCAAAAAACGACATACTATAATAAGGCAAAAAAATGTCAAAAACATCATAGTATAGTAAGGCATAATAGGCCAAAAAACGACATACTATAATAAGGCAAAAAAATGTCAAAAACATCATAGTATAGTAAGGCATAATAGGCCAAAAAACGACATACTATAATAAGGCAAAAAAATGTCAAAAACATCATAGTATAGTAAGGCATAATAGGCCAAAAAACGACATACTATAATAAGGCAAAAAAATGTCAAAAACATCATAGTATAGTAAGGCATAATAGGCCAAAAAACGACATACTATAATAAGGCAAAAAAATGTCAAAAACATCATAGTATAGTAAGGCATAATAGGCCAAAAAACGACATACTATAATAAGGCAAAAAAATGTCAAAAACATCATAGTATAGTAAGGCATAATAGGCCAAAAAACGACATACTATAATAAGGCAAAAAAATGTCAAAAACATCATAGTATAGTAAGGCATAATAGGCCAAAAAACGACATACTATAATAAGGCAAAAAAATGTCAAAAACATCATAGTATAGTAAGGCATAATAGGCCAAAAAACGACATACTATAATAAGGCAAAAAAATGTCAAAAACATCATAGTATAGTAAGGCATAATAGGCCAAAAAACGACATACTATAATAAGGCAAAAAAATGTCAAAAACATCATAGTATAGTAAGGCATAATAGGCCAAAAAACGACATACTATAATAAGGCAAAAAAATGTCAAAAACATCATAGTATAGTAAGGCATAATAGGCCAAAAAACGACATACTATAATAAGGCAAAAAAATGTCAAAAACATCATAGTATAGTAAGGCATAATAGGCCAAAAAACGACATACTATAATAAGGCAAAAAAATGTCAAAAACATCATAGTATAGTAAGGCATAATAGGCCAAAAAACGACATACTATAATAAGGCAAAAAAATGTCAAAAACATCATAGTATAGTAAGGCATAATAGGCCAAAAAACGACATACTATAATAAGGCAAAAAAATGTCAAAAACATCATAGTATAGTAAGGCATAATAGGCCAAAAAACGACATACTATAATAAGGCAAAAAAATGTCAAAAACATCATAGTATAGTAAGGCATAATAGGCCAAAAAACGACATACTATAATAAGGCAAAAAAATGTCAAAAACATCATAGTATAGTAAGGCATAATATGCCAAAAAAAAGTCATAGTATAGTAAGGCATAAAAGGCCAAAAAATGACATAGTATAGTAAGGCAAAATTTTTTTTAAAAACGTCAAAAAACGTAAGGCATAAAACGTCATAGTATAGTAAGGCAAAAAAAATGTCAAAAAAAGTCATAGTATAGTAAGGCATAAAAGGCCAAAAAATGACATAGTATAGTAAGGCAAAATTTTTTTTAAAAACGTCAAAAAACGTAAGGCATAAAACGTCATAGTATAGTAAGGCATAAAAGGCCAAAAAATGACATAGTATAGTAAGGCAAAATTTTTTTTAAAAACGTCAAAAAACGTAAGGCATAAAACGTCATAGTATAGTAAGGCATAAAAGGCCAAAAAATGACATAGTATAGTAAGGCAAAATTTTTTTTAAAAACGTCAAAAAACGTAAGGCATAAAACGTCATAGTATAGTAAGGCATAAAAGGCCAAAAAATGACATAGTATAGTAAGGCAAAATTTTTTTTAAAAACGTCAAAAAACGTAAGGCATAAAACGTCATAGTATAGTAAGGCATAAAAGGCCAAAAAATGACATAGTATAGTAAGGCAAAATTTTTTTTAAAAACGTCAAAAAACGTAAGGCATAAAACGTCATAGTATAGTAAGGCATAAAAGGCCAAAAAATGACATAGTATAGTAAGGCAAAATTTTTTTTAAAAACGTCAAAAAACGTAAGGCATAAAACGTCATAGTATAGTAAGGCATAAAACGTCATAGTATAGTAAGGCATAAAACGTCATAGTATAGTAAGGCATAAAACGTCATAGTATAGTAAGGCAAAAAAAATGTCAAAAAAAGTCATAGTATAGTAAGGCATAAAATGCCTAAAAAACGACATACCATAGTAAGGCAAAAAAATGTCAAAAAACATCATAGGATAGTAAGGCATAAAAGGCCATTATATAATAAGGCATGTAACGCCAAAAAACGACATAGAATAGTAAGGCAAAAATTTTTTTAAAAACGTCATAGTATAGTAAGGCATAAAACATCATAGTATAGTAAGGCAAAAGAAATGTCAAAAAAAGTCATAGTATAGTAAGGCATGTAATGCCAAAAAACGACATAGAATAGTAGGTCAAAAATATTTGAAAAAAAAGTCATAGTATAGTAAGGCATAAAAGGCCAAAAAACGACATAGTATAGTAAGGCAAAAAAATGTCAAAAAACATCATATTATAGTAAGGCATAAAAGGCCATTATATAATAAGGCATATAACGCCAAAAAACGACATAGAATAGTAAGGCAAAAATTTTTTTAAAAACGTCATAGTATAGTAAGGCATAAAACATCATAGTATAGTAAGGCAAAAGAAATGTCAAAAAAAGTCATAGTATAGTAAGGCATGTAATGCCAAAAAACGACATAGAATAGTAAGGCAAAAATTTTTTAAAAAACGTCATAGTATAGTAAGGCATAATAGGCCAAAAAACGACATAGAATAGTAAGGCAAAAATTTTTTAAAAAACGTCATAGTATAGTAAGGCATAATAGGCCAAAAAACGACATAGAATAGTAAGTCAAAAATATTTGAAAAAAAAAGTCATAGTATAGTAAGGCAAATTTTTTTTTGAAAACGTCATAGTATAGTAAGGCATAAAACGTCATAGTATAGTAAGGCAAAAAAATGTCAAAAAACATCATAGTATAGTAAGGCATAAAACGCCATTATATAATAAGGCATGTAACGCCAAAAAACGACACAGAATAGTAAGTCAAAAATATTTGAAAAAAAAGTCATAGTATAGTAAGGCATAATAGGCCAAAAAACGACATACTATAGTAAGGCAAAATTTTTTTTTAAAAATTTCATACTATAGTAAGGCAAAAAAATGTCAAAAAACATCATAGTATAGTAAGGCATAAAACGCCAAAAAACGACATACTATGGTAAGGCAAAAAAATGTCAAAAAACATCATACTATAGTAAGGCATAAAACGCTATTATATAATAAGGCATGTAACGCCAAAAGACGACATAGAATAGTAAGTCAAAAATATTTGAAAAAAAAAGTCATAGTATAGTAAGGCAAATAACACCAAAAAATGACATAGTATAGTAAGGCAAAATTTTTTTTAAAAACGTCATAGTATAGTAAGGCATAAACGTTATAGTATAGTAAGGCAAAAAAAATGTCAAAAAACGACATAGTATAATAAGGCACAAAATGCCAATAAAAACGACATAGTATAGTAGGTCAAAAATATTTGAAAAAGTCATAGTATAGTAAGGCATGAAAGGCCAAAAAACGTCATACTATAGTAAGGCAAAAAAATGTCAAAAAACATCATAGTATAGTAAGGCATAAAACGCCATTATATAAACATCATAGTATAGTAAGGCATAAAGCGCCATTATATAATAAGGCATGTAACGCCAAAAAACGACAGTATAGTAAGGCATGAAAGGCCAAAAAACGTCATACTATAGTAAGGCAAAAAAATGTCAAAAAACATCATAGTATAGTAAGGCATAAAGCGCCATTATATAATAAGGCATGTAACGCCAAAAAACGACATAGATTAGTAAGTCAAAAATATATGAAAAAAAAAATATATATATATGTATAGTAAGGCATAAAACGCCATAGTATAGTAAGGCAAAATTTTTTTTAAAAACGCCATAGTATAGTAAGGCAAAATTTTTTTTAAAAACGCCATAGTATAGTAAGGCAAAATTTTTTTTAAAAACGCCATAGTATAGTAAGGCAAAATTTTTTTTAAAAACGCCATAGTATAGTAAGGCAAAATTTTTTTTAAAAACGCCATAGTATAGTAAGGCAAAATTTTTTTTAAAAACGCCATAGTATAGTAAGGCAAAATTTTTTTTAAAAACGCCATAGTATAGTAAGGCAAAATTTTTTTTAAAAACGCCATAGTATAGTAAGGCAAAATTTTTTTTAAAAACGCCATAGTATAGTAAGGCAAAATTTTTTTTAAAAACGCCATAGTATAGTAAGGCAAAATTTTTTTTAAAAACGCCATAGTATAGTAAGGCAAAATTTTTTTTAAAAACGCCATAGTATAGTAAGGCATAAAGCGCCATTATATAATAAGGCATGTAACGCCAAAAAACGACATAGATTAGTAAGTCAAAAATATATGAAAAAAAAAATATATATATATATGTATAGTAAGGCATAAAACGTCATAGTATAGTAAGGCAAAAAAAAAGTCAAAAAACGACATAGTATAATAAGGCATAAAATGCCAAAAAAAAGTCATAGTATAGTAGGTCAAAAATATTTGAAAAAGTCATAGTATAGTAAGGCATAAAAGTAAGGCAAAAAATTGTCAAAAAACATCACAGTATAGTAAGGCATAAAACGTCATTATATAATAAGGCATGTAACGCCAAAAAACGACAGAGTAGTAAGTCAAAAATATTTGAAAAAAAAGTCATAAAAGGCATAAAAATGTTAAAAAACGACATAGTATAATAAGGCATAAAAATAAAAAAAATATATCATAGTATAGTAAGGCATAAAATGCCATTGTATAATGAGGCATAAAAGCACATACTATAGTAAGGCAAAAAAGTAAAAAAAAAAAATTTCATAGTATAGTAAGGTAAAAAAAAATGCCAAAAAACAACATAAGGCATAAAACGCCATAGTATAATAAGGCATATTAACGCAAAAAAAAAAAAAGCATAGAATAGTAGGGTAAAAAATTTGAAAAAAAACATAAGGCATAAAACACCAAAAACATCATAAGGCATAAAACACCAAAAAATGACATAGTATAGTAAGGCATAAAATGACATAGCATAGAAAGGCAAAGTTTGAAAAAACGTCACAAAAAAACGACATAATATAGTAAGGTAAAAAAATTGGAAAAAACATCATAGTATAGTAAGGCAAAAAAAAAAAAAAATGTCATAGTATAGTAAGGCATAAAAGGCCATTGTATAATAAGGCATATAACGCCAAAAAAACGACATAGTATAGTAAGGTATAAAATGATAGAATAATAAGGCAAAAATTTTTTGAAAAAACGTCACAAAAAACGACATACTATAATAGGGCAAAAAAATCTGAAAAAACATAATAGTACAGTAAGGCATAAAAAGTAAGGCATAAAACAGCATAGTATAATAAGGGATATAATGCCAAAAAACGACATACTAGTAAGGCAAAAAAATGTCAAAAAACTTCATAGTATAGTAAGGCATGAAACGTCATAGTATAATAAGGCATAAAAGGTCAAAAAACGACAAACTATGGTAAGGCAAAAAAAGTTTAAAAAGAAATGTCACAGTATAGTAAGGTAGCGCTCATCCTCTTCCCTGCAATTCCCAAGCAGGAGGGAAACCGGAGCGGCTCGGTAGACTGTTGTTGTTGTCGTCGTTGTATGTTTACATGATATATAATGTGCCTAAAACCTTGTATAATACAAAGAGGTCTTACATTTCAGTGGTCTAACGATGTCTCCATGCAAACCCTGTGTTTACACCTGTAAACAGAACTACTACATTAAGGCGTAGTGTTTCTCAATTTGTCATGTTCTCTTATGGGATCGTTGGCACCTGATCAGCAGAAAACTGAGTTGGTAACTATAAAGAGATGAAATCCCAAATGAGCTCTCAGTTGTATTTAATGAGTGCAGGGCCTGCTAATGCACCATCATTACTCACATTCTGAATTGCAAAAATAGCTTTACTCTCTTCTGAGCTACTGGAAATGTAAATGAGCAACTTTGCACAGGGGACAAAAAAAAACATTTTATTCTGCAACACTTAACTTTTTAAAAACATAATAATGCACAAAATATTTCCCTAAGGGTTGTGTTGTACCTTGTAGGGCTTGCCATTGACCAGGTTGGCTAAAGAGGAGCGAGGGATCTTGCCAGAGCGCGTCTTCGGCAGTCCTCTGACAAAAAGCACTCTCCTGAAGGCAGCAACGGGTCCGATGCTGTTTCTCACAAGCTTCACCATCTCATTTATGATCTCCTCTTCATTTTTCTGCACACCTGAGACAAACAGGCAAACAGGCACATACATTTAAACAAAACACACACAGTTTTAATGCCACCTGGAGAATAATTTTCATTTCAACACAAAAAATGATTATAGTAATTTTAAAAAGTGTTTATAATACAAAAAAAAACTGTGGAAAACAATACTGGTGAGTGCTATCTTACTTTAATGCTACACCATACATTTGACATGCCTCACCATTCTTGAGCACACACAGGGCCAAGGGAATGTGACCCTTTAGAGTGTCCTCCAGACCAACCACAGCACAGTCTCCCACTGCAGGGTGCTGCAGCACTGACTGCAAAACACATATATATATATATATACATACGTGAGGATACCACAAAGAAGCGCTGGGGAAACAGTCATGTCACCTCCTCTCTTATCGCTCTCCTACCTCCTCCAAAGCTCCAGCAGACAGCCTGTGACCTGCCACGTTGATGACATCATCAGACCGGGACATAATGTAAAGGAAGCCCTCCTCATCCACATATCCTGCATCCATGGTGTCATAGTAACCCTGATGGTGAAACAGCAAGGAGGAGGGTTGTTGCTATGTTACAGCGTGATGTAGTAGCTGGAGAAGGTCACAGTCTATGGCTTCATAAATTGTAATTCATGAGGTCAGTTTTTTTAATTCAGGTCCTCAGGCTGCAATGAAGGTTTTCAACACTAGAGGGCCACCTTTTACCATGGACTTCTCACTACCCATTCCACTTCCATGTTTTATCCAGTGTCATAAACACTTTATTGAGCAAATCTTCAATGAAATACAACTGTTCTTAGATCAAATTCAAGCTTTTCTTTCACTATAAGTTATTTCATGTATAAATTGTTTAGAAATGATGACACAACTTACTGGGAACTTAGTGAAATAGAGCTCCTTGAACAGATCGTGGTTCTGCCAGAGTGACAACGCTGCTCCAGGTGGTAAAGGTAGTCTGAGGGGAGAAGTACAAATTTCATTTCATTTCAGGAAAAGTTAAATTCCAATATAACTCTTTTAACTATTTAACTCCACTTCTGATATATTAGCAAAACTAAAGGTGAGTCTATAACACAATAAATCAATTATGTTGATGTGCAGCGTATCAGATTTTACTTGCTAAAGCCATTAATACTTGTGAAGATGGATATTTCTTTGTTTCACTTCACTGCAGTTAGTCTAAACACTGCCAGGCTGTACTAGACTTCACCACGCCTCAACTGCACAAAGAGACCCAAACACACACACTCACGCACAGGGCAGACAGGGTTGCAAAGTCACTCAGTCTTTGTTTATCAAGGGACTACAAGCAATCCCGCTTCTCGATTAGTGTCTTAACCAAGACAGTTCCATTTCCCAGGTCTGAACCCAAAACGTGCTTCTGCATAGATTCATTCCACTACAAGCAGAATATTCAAATATACAACAAAAAAAATATCTTATTTCTGATGCTGATTAGCTGTTGGACAGGGGTGATAAAAAAAAAAAACATCCTTTCTGCTGCAGCAAAATCTGCAAAGAAAAACATATATGATATAAGCTGTGCTACTAATGCACCAGTTTGGCTGCTTGCTTGCATGCTCATCTTCTGCACAAAAAGCTCCACTTGAAACAATAAATGTGTGACTAAAATCAATAAATCAATAAACTAATAAAATGCATTAACACAATATTTCAGAGCTCTAACACATTACAGGTCATTATGTCCTCTGCTCCCAGCAACCACACTCTCTGTAAATACTGAATATGACCTTATGAAGCTGTTGTATAGCTTTTGAAAGAACGGGACTGGCACAGACTTCATGGCGACTGGAACGAAGTACAGTAACACAGCTGTTCCTGTCTGTTTACAGCTCTACCTGTCCTTATCCCTGGATGCACTCTATATGTGGATTCTTTGGAAATCCCCCTTGTTGGCACAGAGTCAAAACCAGCAGTTCCAAAGAACAAGGGAACAGAGTTGGAGAGTGATAACAGATAGGTAGCAGGCTGGACAATAAGGCAGCACAAAGGTCTGGGGGGGGGGTTTGACTGCTGGAGCTTTTACTAAAGCAGCTGTCTTACCTAAAAACACACCAATTGCCTTCTACAACCTCAGCAAAAAAAAAAAAAAACACTGAGTGAGGTTTGGAATTTACCCAAAAGTGAATTATTAAAATTAATGACTGAAGGATTGAAGTTTAAATTTGATCAGTGTGAAAAATGCTTTTATTTCACATTGTAAAATGTGCGAGCAAGTGACAGAAGAAGATAAGCAGCTCACACGATTGTAAACACACTCAGCTTACCTCACCACAATATTTCCCAGGGTTCTTGGCTTCACCTCCTGCAAGTCATCATCGATCACTGCGACTAGTGGAAAGGGAAGCGCACACAGTTTATATTCAGAGGTGGTGTATCACCCGCTGGCAAAAATATTAAACACTGTGCAGGGAATTACAAGTTTTATCCTTTTCTGTTTTGGTTTATCTTTAGATATCTGTAACTGAGTGACAGCAAATTTAACTTAAACACATTAAAATAACGAGAAAGATAGAAATACACATGCAAGATGTTCCTGTTTATGCACAGGAAAACGCTGGTTTGTGTTAAGTGTGTATTATAGCTGGGATATGGGATCGACAGCTCTACCTCTTACCATTGTAACCTGGAACAGGTTTGCCCGCCTGGCCTGCAGGTGGCGTGAGTGAGTTCCCCAGACCAATACACGAGGAGGTGATGGCTGAGCCAGTTTCTGATGAGAGAGACACAGACAAAGAGATTCTTAAAAAGTCATATCTGTGTGGGAGGTCCCTGAAGTTAAAGCCAAACACATGAGCCGCGAATCTGTGGCGTAATACGACAATTATGACACAACCTTATTGTTTTCTGGATTTTCTGTGCTATATGCAAAAGCTAAATCTTCCAGTGGTGGGCTGATCAAAGGAGCTTGTGTGGTATTGGGTTGCATTCCTCCTGTAAGCAGCATTAACCTACATTATGCAAAAACTATGACAGCTCCTATGGGCTCTCCCCGACTCCACCGCTCAACTGTGCTCCACTTTACAGCAAAGACTCGCCTGTTTGTCAGCCCCCTACTCGCCCACCCAGTGAATGAATAACAGAATCGATGCAGCTCAGTAAGCAAGATTACATCTGTAATCACACGGCAGCAGACAGGGGGCCCAGGATCAGCATCTGTCTTCTATGTTTAAACTTAAGTTTGAAAACGCTGTGAAGAAATGCTCCAGTCTGTGGGCGTCTGTGGGTTTAATCGGCATAAACATAAGAACAATGATGCAGCTGAACACTTCCATCTGTCCATCATGTTTCTCTTTTACAACACAGCTGATGTATCACCTTACATTCACACAGTAGGTGACAGACGACAAAAAATAACCTCCAGCATCATGATTCCCATCATTTTTGCCTGTTTGCTTGTGGTTTTTCTTTATTGGTTCATGCTGTTTGCATCTTATGGACTTTAATTTGCTGTTCAATTAAATACTAGATCTTTGATGGCATTTCAGAAACAGTCATCCCGTGGGATTAGTGATTCTTATTTATTTTACAAACAAGAGGCAGATTAATTACCTCATGTGCTGCAGTTTTATTCACTAATATGCAAATGTACGCACAAGCCGTTCAAAAAGGTAATCAGATCATCTAGCAGGGAGTGCATGCAGTGTAAATCTGATGTTTCTGTATTGTTCTTAGGTTACTGCAACCTAAGAGTGTCATGCCATTTTCTTGTTAATATGCAAATGTATGCAGCAAGGAGCACTAAAGCAGAATTAGATCATTTATTGCACATGGAGGAAGTAAACAGTCTCGGTCATTGAGTCTTCTAAGATATGCAGTCAGGTGCGTTGCCGGTGGGAGAAGTGCCTTGTCTTCTGAGAGGGCAAAAGCCAGTGGCAAAACATTCACGGCAGCAGCAGGCTCATTCAATACAACAGTGATTTGAGGCAGCGTAGAGTCCTCATTAAACCTTGAGGGGAAGCTGCAGTAGCATTAGACTTTACCAGGGTTACATACCTGTCATCTAGATAGAAAGACTGGGCTGCAGTGAGAACCTGATCACCACAATTAAAGGGACAAATCGGAGTGCCACTCATAGAAATAAAGGGTATTACTAGTCAAATGTGCCCCTGAGGTAGCATTAAATTTCAACATGCTTGAGGCAGTGTCAGATTTTGGGATAAGGAGCCTCAATCCATGAGATCCCCACAGAGTTCTTTTCGGAAAAAGGAAGAGCAGGATGTTCAGAACATGATGTCCCCGAGAAAGATGTGAGGGACACGAGATCAACGTGGACCCAGACACAAATCATCCGCAGCACCTTGCTGAGCTTCCAGTTCAGCAAGGACTTCCTGAAGTGGATACAGACAGTGTCTTCCCTCTACTACTAATCAAACAAGTGCAAACAGATATAGACCTGCTTCCAACTCCAGCACAGCAGGCTTCAAAGACATGAGCTCAGGAGCAGGAGGTTGCTGTTGGTTGAGGAAGGGATTAAGTTAGCAAATGAAGATTGGGGGGGGGTTGTAGAGTTTAACACATCAGCCAACCGCAGCGGCCTCTGAACTGGCAACCACGTACGCCTCATTCATCAGTGGCAGGTTAGCCACTCCCTGCAGGGTTCAAAGCCCCATCAGTGTCAGTAAAGACGGTGCTCAGCAACAATGATGGAAAAAAAGAAAAAAAAAAGAAAAGATTTTTTATGCCTTCAGGGGGGCTGTTAGTCCCACTCACCTTGTCAGAGAGCAGGGTCACGACAGGGTGATGACAGACCCCCTGTTGCCCTTTGCTTTCCCCTCAGGTGTGTAGCAACACACTTCTCCTTGCACTACATTTATGGCCATCACATAATCCCAACGGAAGCAGAGCAAAGGGGAAATACTGTAACTTGTAAAACAGAAGCTAATAAGTTTCTTGGCGTGGAGTTTCAAATTCAGTTTTGATATACTTTGTGATTGGTGGAACATTTGAATGATCAGTTATAAGTTATGGCTCTTTTGCCTTATGCAAAAATTAAAAATCAAGTGAACCTTATTTACATATTAATATAAAGTTAAATGATCAATAGCTAATCAAACTACATGATAATGAACCTAGACATAGTCCTATCCAGTGTTAATAACGAGCCAGTACTGGGCCAACCAATATATCAGTCTGACCCTGAAGGACGCTGTAAGGGTCCTTTAAAAGCTTGACGGAATTGCACGTCAATTAAAGCTCGCCACGACCACTGAACCGTGTCAGCACGAGGGGAGTGTTTAAACCTGGCTGTTTACAGCTGGAGCCGCGGAGCCCGCTGGCGGCGATTCAGGCCCAGAGAGTAAATTCAAAAACACAAATGAAAAAAGACAGTATAATTGGACCTTGACATTTTACAAGGCATACAGGAAGACAGGACTGGCTGTGCTGCTCTCAGGCATGAAATTAAACCTTTACAAAAGCAAAGATTTTCTAAATGATAATTAGCTGCATCACTAAAACATTCTGTCCTCGCATTTACATGAAGGACGGCAAAGATGACAAGAAACATAACTCGGCTTTTTAAAGCTGAGTCAGATGTTTACCGATAACTCCTAAAGGTTCGCTCCTTGGCCCCGAATGCGACGGCATAATAGATCATAGCACAGCAGCTGTTGCCTGTTTACATTCTTCCACCCTGCAGCTCAGAGAGAGCACATACAAAAATGATTAGAACAGCTCTAAAACATGACGTTTATCTGGAGACATTTCTGACAGTCTGACATTTTGAACATGCTACAGGAGCTGCAGCAAATTAAGCAAGTGTTTTCAGATGTTGAGGTGGAAGTACGGCTATTGACATTCAGCACTGTGATCAACTCCACTTAAATAACTCAACAGTATCAAAAATGAGCATCTTCCCATGGGGACAACATCTCATCAGAGGGGTTATCTGTCCAAAACATATCTATTTAAGGGTCAAGTTAGAAAAATAACCTTCCTGGAGCTAAAACAGACAAAAGTAGATCCATTGCTGCTATTCTGGTCACACTGAGCAGAGAAGATTAAATATGCCGGATGAGAAAGGTAGACAGCACAGGCTGTGGAGACAGGTGAATGAACACTAGAAGAGAGAGAGGAGGAGTAAAAACATTGTTTGGGGGCTTGAGATGATCTCTCACACACACACACACACACACACACACACGTATCCATACTCAAGCTGTGTGGCTGCCTATCTGCGTGTCTGACTGACTACTGATGTGAGTGTTTGGCAAACACACACATACACACGTAAGTATCAGTCTTCCCCCTACTCCCACCTCAGTCTTTCCCTTTTCGTTTGCTCCTTCTTGCTCCCTCGCGCTCTCTTTGCCTCTGTACACAAACAAATCAATCTTCCTTCGACCTGTTGGAGATGAGCTTGGCTAGTGAGAGGCATTTTGAGTGTGATGAATGGGTTGCGGGTGGGGAGGGGGGTTGTTTGGAGGATGTGTTGGAATAGCAGGAATGGGCGATTCGGTGGCGCCTTTTCAGCTGAGAAGGTGCTATTGAACAGCCGAGCTCATTATGAGCTGCTTGGAGGGAAACTGCTGTTCAGGAAAACAAAGATGGCTCTCTGATCCTGCTCTCTGTCTTTTCCTCTCTCTGCAGATCCCCTTCTTCTTTCTTACACAGATGAAATAGCTGTCTTCTCCTATAACAATGTAACCCTGCGCTTCCTCTCCATCTGTAGGGTGTGCACAAAAGATACTGGCTGAAGGGCGACAATGGGCGTGATCAATGTTACAAAATGAAATATGAGAGAGCAGCACGGTCATTACTCAAGTGTTATCTTTTTGCATCAATGCAAAATATGCTGATTCACAGAATTACAAATAGAAAATACATCAGAGTTACGAGTGTAGACCAACTAGAACATTTGTTTAGTTCCCTTTAGTAATTCATAATCTGGAAAGCGGCAATGGTACAGCTATAACTATACATATTAATAGGGATGTCCGGACCTGATTTCAAAGATCGGTATCCAGGCAGATCAAGGCAATTTTTAACTGATCTGTATTGGCTGTATTGAGCACGAACTTAAGCCCGATCCTTTCTTTTTTTTTCTTAACATCACCTGTCACAAGGGTGTTGTGTTGAGCACAATTTGTGGCAGGATGTGGCTAAATGTCTGCAGAATGGAAATATTTCAAAATGGAAAGCGAAAGCAGCCACTCGTTACGTCTGCAATGTGAGCATTTCACCAGGCGGTAGTAACAGAGCTGCGTTCAACACTACAGCATCTACAAATCCCTCTACGGAATACAGCGAGTTCACTCAGGTAACTCAGGCAAAGGCTGCACAGAGGCAACACGCGCTGGAGGATACTTTTAGAAGGACAGACAAATTTCCTGGAGACAGTAGGAGACAGTGTCATCTCACAACATTATTAAACAAAAAGAGACAATAAAACCAAAATGAAACCAAGATGAGAGCTTAAACGCAGAGTAGTCAGTATGTGTTTTGACATCCACACATTTTTCAATAACTCCATTATTCTGCATTTGAAAACAATCAGCGATTGTGACGATAAATCGCCATATTTCAGCTTTAATTTCTGAGTTGAATTATCTTGCACTATGTGTAATAACAGTTAGCGTGAATGAACATATTGGAGCATTTAGCTGCTAAAAGGACAGATGTTTCCCTTACTTTACAGCCTGTATCCACTGCCCCAAAGTGATAAACTGTTAATGCAGGTTTAAATCTGAAAATCATCATTTAATATTTTCC